GCGACACCCTCGCACTCCTCTGATCTAGCAGGCGAAGACGAGCGAGGAAGCCGCGAACACGTCCAGCTATGCTCGAGCTGGCAGTGACCATCCTAGAGAAGAGCTGGGGAAGAGCAGAAGTGAGAGAAAGATAAGGGAGGAGGAGGGGAGGAGGAGGAGGAGGAGGAGGAGGAGGGAAGGAGGAGGGAAGGAGGAGGGGAAGAGGAGGGGAAGAGGAGGGGAGGACGAGGGGAGGACGAGGACGAGGACGAGGACGAGGACAAGGACGATGAGCAGCAGCAGCAGCAGCAGCAGCAGCAGGAGAGGGAAGACATTAGCAGGAGAGAAGAGAGGACGGGGGAGGAGGAGAAGAGAGAGAGAGGATGAGGAAAGAAAAGGGAGGAGGAGGGAGGAGGTAGAGAAGGTGAGGAGGACCATAAGGGTTGAGTGGGGGAAGCGAAAGGGGGGCAGGAGCGAAGGGAAACGAGTGAGAAGAGGAGAGATGAACAAAATAGAGGAGAGAGTTGAGAGGAGGAGAGAGGAGGAGAGAGGAGGAGAGAGGAAGAGAGAGGAAGAGAGAGGAAGAGAGAGGAGGAGAGAGAAGAGGAAGGGAGACGCGAGGGGGGAGTTATGGAGGAGAAAGTAGAAGTTAACACATTTTCAAGTCTTGTAGCTTTCAATTGCTTCCTCCTCCGATGGGTTCGGAAACATTTCTGGATGACAGAAGCAGCACGTGACCTTCGACTGTACTCCATTCTCTGCACCCGCATGTCAACAACCCTCATCCCGTCCTCTCCTCTCCTCTCCTGCCCCCTTCGTCTTCGCTCTCCTCCTCCTCCTCTTCCCCTTCATCCTCCTCCTCTCCTCACCTTCAGCTGCACACTTTTCCTCCTACGTGCTCCGCTACATCTCCACGCCAGCTGCAGGAGGACGGCCGATGCTTCTCGCTGCTCCTCCAACAAAGCAGAGGCATCCTGACCCTCCTGCTCCCGCGCTCCAGGGTCTGTTTCCTCCTCCTTCCGCCCGCCGTCTCCTCGCTCCTCCCCCTCCTCCTTCACATCCCCGTCAACCTTCTCCTTCCTCCTCCACATCAACATCACCTGCATCTTTGCTGCCTCCCCCGCCCCCGCTGAAGGAACTGCTCCCGCACTCTCCTCGTGCTGCCCGGACAGTTCCTCGCCTCCCCCTCTATCAAGCTCGACTCCTCCTCCTTCTCCTCCTTGTCCCTCAATCTCCTGCTCTTCTCCTCCTCCTACTTCTCTTTCTCCTCTCCCGCCTCCTAGATGCTCCTGCGAGGCTTTCCCTGTCTCACCCCTCTCCTCAAAACTAACATCCTCACTCGACCGACGGGCCTCCTCTGCCTCCTCCTTCCCGCCTCCTCTTCCTCCTCCTCCTACCTCCTCTCCCTCGCTCTTCTCCCTCCTTCCCTCCTCCTGTGTGCCCTCCTGCCTTGCTTCCTCCTCCGCGCTCCTTCGTCCTTGAAACGTCTCTTCCTCCTCCGCCTCCGAAGAAAGCACGTTGACGAGCCTCTCGGACCGTCTGGGCAAGATCGTCAGGGAAATTGAGGAGACGAGAGGGGAAGGGAGAGAGGAGGGAGAGAGCGGGGGTGGGGGGAGAGAAAAGGGAGCAGCAAAGGATGGAAGAGGAGGGGTAGGGGGAGGAGGGGGAGCTAGAACAGGAAAGAAAAAGAGGAAAAGAAATAGACAGAGACAGGAAGGAAAGGAAGACGAGGAGGAGAAAGCGGAGGAAGAGGAGGAAGAGGAGGAGGAGGAGAGGTGGGGGAGGAGGAGGAGTAGAGGTGGGGGAGGAGGAGCAGGAGCAGGAGGAGCAGGAGAGGTGGGGGGAAGGGAGGAGGAAGGGGAGGAGGAGGAGGAGGAGGAGAAGTACTTGGAGCCAGTGACCAATCGGAGCTGCATGGTGCGAGAAGGGGAGAGGAGCGCGTCGGAGGCGGCGCTGCGGTAGCTGAGGTCGGTTGAGAGGCGATAGTCTACTCCATGCTCATCGAGGTAGAAGAGTTGAAACCTCTCCTGCAACGACAAGTCGTACTCCAGCCGCAGCTGCAAGGGAGGGAGAATGAGTGACCAACGCAGAGAGAGAGGAGGAGGGGGAAAGAGGAGAGGAGAGGAGAGGAGAGGAGAGAAGAGAAGAGAAGAGGACAGGACAGGACAGGACAGGAAGAACAGGACAGGAAGAACGGGAATCTGAAGAGGAGGTGAACTGACCTGCTCGCAGACTTGTTCGAAGGAGGCGGAGCGAGATAAAAGTAGCTTCTTCATGCCGAACGAGCCCTCAACCTGACACCGTACCACCTCCTGCTGCTGCTTGACCTGGAGCAGGAGGGACCCGTCCAGCAAAGAGGAGGAAAGACCGGTAGTCTGCTCCTCCAAGCTCGAAATGCGGGACTGCAACTGCCATGAAGCGCTCAAAAGAAACAAAACAGCAGAAGAAAAGCGCAGGGCGGGAGCAGGAGCAGAAGCAGCAGGAGCAGCAGGAGCAGCAGCAAGAGCAGGAGCAGCAGCAGCAGCAGCACACGGCCTCAGCATACCTCAGTCAAGAGCTGTTCGTTGTTCAGTTCCAGCTCGTTGATCGTCACTCTCGGCTTCATCCGCTCCTGGGCAGGGGATGTTCCTCCTCTCTTCTTCCTCTCGCTCTTGCTCCTCCCCTGCTCCTGCGCGCCTGCCTCCTCCTCCAGGTGATACTCCTCATCCACATCAAACAGCAGCTCCTTCAGCGTCCGAGGCGATCGTGATGCTCTCGGAGGAGCGGTCTTGCTCTTCCGTGAAGTACTCCCTCCTTGCCGCAAGTAGCCTCCTCCTCCCTCCCCGTCTAGCCCTTGCCCGTCCCCGTCCCCGTCCCCGTCCCCCCTCCCCTCTCCCTCCTCTCCCTCCTCCTCCCTCTCTCCACGAGTCTGCACGCGGAGGTACTGGGAACGAGCATCGAAGACAGGGATGGAGCTGCTGGTACCTCCCAGCTCCTCCTCCTCCTCTCCTCGCATGCTCCTCAAAGTCTGCGACAGTGAGACCGTCCGAGGATGTTCCGGGCCCCACGTTTGCTCTGCCGTCTCCATGAGATGCTGCAATAGCCTTGCAGCTCGTACTGCTCACCTGCCGCAGCCTTCGCTTGCTCGTACATCGCCGCTGCTTCTCGCTGCCAGACAACGGGTCAAGAAGACGAGGACAAGGACAAGGACAAGGACGAGGACGAGGACGAGGACGAGGACGAGGACGAGGACGAGGACGAGGACGAGGACGAATAGGAGAAAGGAGTTAGGTCGGACTCACCGTCTTCCCAAGGAATTCGTACTCGACTGCCGCATTGTATCGGGCAGCTACGAGGAGGGAGGCGTCTTGCTCTGAGAGTCTCGTCAGCTTCATCGGCAGAGCGAGCAGCGAGCTTCACGTCTCCTCGACTTGAGCGAGGAGGAAGGCTTCTTGCTGTTGACCGCTGCACCGCATGCGGCAGTCAGGAGCACGCGGGGGGACGGAATGCGACAAGGAGGAAGAGGAGGAGGGAAAGGGCCCATGTGAATCGCTCGTCACCTCTCTCTAGCAGCTGAAGGGCACAGTCGATATGCTCCAAGGCAGCACGGTGTTTCGACAGCTGAGGAGAGGAGAGAGGTCAGAGGAAGCAGCCTCTGCGGGTTGTTCCAACACCTGTGACAGTACAGCGGCAATGTTGAGGTGAGTGGCTGCTGGGTTGTCGACCTCGCTGCAAGACATCTCGATCCACAGAGCTCTGTCCAGTGCCTTTAGCGCGGAATGCAGGCTTCCTCTCGCCCTGGACACCATGGTGCTGTCAAGAAGGAATTTTTCATCAAGTGCACAATACCTGTAGAAGCATCCGAGGTTGTTGTAGGTGACAGCAAGCAGCCTGCTCTTGACCTCCTTGTTCCTCAACAAACTTTTCTCTCCTGCCAGTCTCTCTGCTTTCCTCAGAAGCTCCCATGCCACCTCCATGCCCCCTGATCGCACTGCCGCCATGCTGAGTCCATTGTAGCTCATGACAAGGACTTGCAGGGACCTCTGGACATCAGGGTGGTCGATGCCGAGAGTCTCTCTGCGGAGGAGGGACGTCTTCTCGAGGAGGAGGAGAGCTTGCAAGTTCTTGCCCTGCTCTACCAGCTCGGCATACTCCTCGTCCATGGCGTCTAGTCTTGACATCGCCATGTCCTCCCATCAACGGACCGCAGTCCCTGAAACTTGGAAACTTACAGGGAAAGTTAGGACCCTGGAACTTTGGGTGAGGGAGTTTCAAAGTTTGTGAAGTTTGAAACTTTCAGGGGTTTTCTCCACCTGTACCCCCTACTACCTTCACCCATATGTCTTGACAACCAGTACCCCCTCGAATAACCCATCAGGATCTGAATAGACCCCTACCTCAATTTTTGCATTGTAGTACCCCGTATTAGAATGATTAAAGTACCCCTATTGAGAAAATTGATCAATAAAATGAGCGGGGGTGTATACCCCCACCCCAGAGTTCTAGCTTTCAGAGAACCCCCACCCCTCTAGCCACTCCCCTCAGTCTACGCGGCCGCCGTGCGATGCAAGGTACGGGTACAGGACGTGGAAGGGGAAGGGGGAGAGGAGAGGAGGAGGAGGAGAGGAGGAGGAGGAGGAGGAGGACTCGTAGTCAGAAGTGGTGATACGGCAGATATGGACAAAGAAGGCAGCAGAAGAGCAGAAGAAGGTCGGAGGAGGAGGAGGAAGGAGGAAGGAGGGAGACAGGGTATTTCAAAGGATACATTGGAGCGAGGGCGGAACAAGAGAGTATGTTCTGTCACACAAGAGATCTAGATGAGAGGAGAAGAGAAGAGAAATTCTTTCGGATCTCAGTCGAAGCAAGGTGATCTTGATGTATCGTACGGGTCTGAAACAATGTGTGGAGCGAACAGTTGGGAATCACAGCTCTTATCTGATCTATTGAAGTTTGTACCTCCATCCACTGACTCATCTCCTCCATGCAGAATCTTCCTGTCACTTGTGATGATTCACTCTTGCAAGAGCTCCTCCACATCGTGTTTTCTTAGGTCAGGAGTGTTGTTCCTAGCTGGCCTTGCGCTCCTCCCCACCTCCTCCTCTCTCCCGCGATCCTCTCAGGACATGATCTTCCCCCAATGGCGCCCCCACTCGCTCAGAGGAGGAAGCGCCGGCCATCACAAGAAACGAGAAGCGGATCCGCCAGCAGAGGCTACTCCGAACACATCCAACAGGACAGCCAACTTCCTGAGAGCCGCCGCCCCTGTTGCCTCCTGCTACGCAGAGAGGAAGAGGCAGAGCTTGTCATGGCAGCCGTCCCCGGCCTCAGACTTGCACGACAACGTGAACTTGATCGCGCTCTTCCTGCTCGGGGGAGGAGCGATCGCTGCTCTGGCGCTGCAGGACCGCAACATGCATGACCTGCTCACAGTGTCCGGCTTCGTGTACATCCTCCTCGACTCGGTCTGGATCTTCTCCCAGCCCAAGATCGTGAAGAGCCCGGGGATGGTGGGATCGCATCATATCGCCACGCTCCTGGTCCTCCTCGATCCCCTGCTGCAGCCGAAGCATCGGGTCTACACGTCTGCATGCCTACTGGTAGAGATCAACACGCTGCTGCTGCTGCTGAGGAGGAGGGTGTCATACTCTGCGATCGTCGAAGTTCCCTTCATCTTGACCTGGGTGCTCCTGCGGAACATCTGGTACAGTCGTGCTTGCCAATATCCTCATCCCCTCCTCTCTTTCTCCCCCTCGCCTTCCTCCAATCTTCCTCCTCTTTCCCCCTCGTCCCCCCTCTCCAACACACCCAACACTTCCGTCCTCCTTCGTCATCCTCACTCGCTCACTCACTTGCTGCCTATCTACTTATCCTTGTTCTCTCCTGCCTCCTCCTTGACTGCCTCCGTCAGGTACCCGCTCCTCATGTTCTACTTCTTTCTCTGCTTTTCTCCGAGCACATTCATCCCCCTCCTCCCCTCGTCGCTCTCCTGGGTGATCGAGATGAGGACGAAGATCGAGCTCCGTAATCCCGTTCCCATGATGGGCGTCTCGCTCCTGTACTTGCTCCTGCTCCTCCTCCTCCCCTCCGCTCTCCTGACGCTCCCTGCCAGCTCCTGGGCCATGGTATGCATATTTCAGTTCTACTGGACAGCACAGGTCAGGATTGTCCTGCTTGGCTCTCGGCTGACGTGTGCTCAGCTCTTCAGCGCTCACCCGTGGATCTGGGGAAGGAGGAAGCCAACGGCCAACGGCAAGGAGAAGAAGTACTTGTGAGCACTCCTAGAGGGCCGACGACGAGGATGCTGCGATCGTTGACGGACGCAGCGGGGGGAGGCTGGCGGAGGAGGCAGAGGAGGGAAGTGGAGGAAGGCAATGGCGGCGGTGGGCTATGAAGATGTTGGATGCGAGGACGGGAAGGAGGAGGAGGGGAGGAGGTGGTGGGTAAGGAGGAGAAAGTGAGCGGCTAGTTGGTCTAGCATTATTTTTTCTTGTTTTCAGTGGTTAACTGTTTGTCGGCTGACCTTGCACATGTCGCTATGTTACAGCAGCTACAACTCGCACCTGACGTTGATGTTCATGGCTGCGAGCTCTGCAAGAAGATACCTGCTCGAACAAGTCAGAGGCGTGAGGGGGGGGGGTATGAGGAGAAACAATGGGGAGGGGAAGAGGAGGAGAGAACGAGAGGCTGGGCAAGAAGGAGTAGATGAAGGACGGGGGGAGGAAGGAGTACAGCTACAGCTGTATTGGAAGCAAGACGAGGGGGGGGGGGGTGTGGAATGTCACCGGAAGACGAAGGGAACGGCGACACAGGAGACGGAGGCTCCTGTCTTGCATTTGTGGCAGTAGAGCCGCTGCTTTCCTCGTTGCCTTCCTGCTCCTGCAGAGTTGTCAGCTGTGGAGCTGGACGTATGGAGGAAGAAGGAGGGGGGGAGGCGGCGGCGGCGGCGGCGGCAGCAGCAGCAGCAGCAGCAGCAGCAGCAGCAGCAGCAGCAGCAGCAGCAGCAGCAGGATAGTGAGTGAGGTGGGAGGACCTGGAGTGAGAATCTCCTCGGGGG